AAAAAAAAAACATTACTGAATGTACAAGCTAAGCTCGTGAAAATAGAAAAATTTTAAAAGGCCACAAAAGGATAGATAGAGAAAGAAAAGGAACCGTCGAGCTTTTAGTAATTACAAAAAGTAAGGTAAAAGACATTCTGTAGGCCAACTTAAAGAAATGTAGAGATTACTTTATTAACACTATTAAAAAATTCAAATTTTGTGAAGATTAATGCACAAGTATAACCTCTGGCACCTTTTAAGAGTCGTTCAAACGCTAAATTGACACTTGAAAAAAAGAGTAGCTAATAGCTCTGTAGCTTTATAAACGCATCTTCATCAGCTTAAAAGGCTGTCATTCATCTAAGACTAATGATTTTAGTGAATGCTTCTGATGCTTCTGATGCCAACAATACAGGTATATATATAAGGCACTTGTCGCGACAGCACGCGAAAGGCCACCCCGTGCACTGTAGTGTCCTCTGAACTACCCCTGAAGGGAAGTTTTTGGAGGGTAGACGGCCGGTCACTACTACCTTGAAGGGTATTTAAGCGAAGATAACTTTTAAAAATAAGAATTTCTTACCAAACTAAGCTTCAAAGCGGTCGAACTGTGCTATCGTCTATCATCTATTAGCTTTGGGTAGTTTTCAAGTTTTGTATTTTCCATATCGTACCCATTGGCAGTTCACAGGTTTCTTTGTTTTGAGTTTATTATATTAGAAGTTTCAATCTGTTAAATAACTGGTTCTTTATAATTTGTTGTTAATTATAACTCCCCACTTTGTTCCTCACTGAGTAAGACACGCGACTTGTGTCAGAAGCGTCTTACTATCATTATTATCAGTCCAAATATTTCAAATATTCTTTGGGTTGTAATACACTCGAAGAATTTGAACAATGAAGAGTTATATATGAAATTTCAGTGTAACATCACGGAACTAACAACCCTACATTTAGCTTCTAGTCCTCTTAGAGTAGGTTGGCACTGTGGGCGTTGGCATCTACAACTGCCTACAGTAAGAAACTATAAAAGTTAGGTTTCCTCAGGAAAATATTAAGGGGCTTAGCAACAGTTCCCCATTTAAGTTTGCTGTCGGTAGTTGCAATAGCACCGGAGAAGTGAGAATTTTAGTTCCCACTAAATTTTTTTGGTAAACGTCTAGTTTGCTCTTTCAAACATTAGTTCTGAATTAATCCTTCCTTTTTTTTCCACTTCAATTTTTTTATTTTAGATGTGGTATCCCTTTACAGTTTATAAGGTTTCTAACTTTTTCAAGTTTAAGTTTCGTTGCATTTGAAACTAAATTTATCTCTTTGTTAACTATTGGTTCTTCTTAACTGTTTTATTAGGTTTGTGAGTGATTTTTTGTCATTATTATCGTTGCGACTAGATTTTTCTTTTACGATAAGTCAATTTTTTTGCAATGTACTAAATAGATAGCTTGTTTACAGTAATCTCTGGCGTAACAAGATTACTCCATCTCAACTATTGATTGAGTTTTAATATATGGGAATTTGGAGATAATAAGAAGTCATCAGATGTAAGTGGCCATAGCCGGCGTTCTTACTCACATTTGGCATCTGTAAAATCAGTAACTCTGAATCTAATCAGGGCAACTTCAATTTGTGACATTTTGAAAAGCAAAAATTTTTCCACACTATATTCATTTTTTTAAATTCAAACTACGTTTTCCTAGTCTCTTTAAAACCTTCGCTTTTGTAGTATCTATCTAACTGTTCAGTAGCATTAATGACGTAATAAACATTCAATATTAAAGACACGAAAACTGATAAACCAAAAGTTTATTTAATTTCATTAAGGTTGAGCTAAACAAGATGTCTTAAAATATGAACTTCTACGCAGCTAGCTGACAATTCTTACAACTTTTTGAGCGCGGTGCATAGTTACTTTTTCAGATTCTCATTAGAGTATTTTATATTTAAACTTAAAAACTGCTAGCCAACAAAAGTGGAAAAAATTATAACTAAAAAAATGCTTTAATACAGTTTTTATAAAATACCATCTCTCCTACGATTATATTTTTCTTCTGAAGAAATCAAAAAGCAAGGCCAAAGAACATAAATAAAACAGCCGAGAACTACAAATTCTGCTTCATTAAGAATGTTTTTTTGGAGCTCATTTAGACTGTTGGCCCCAGTCTTTTTCTCCGCCTCGGTGGGCAGAGTCTCTTTGGGAACCCTGCTCACCGGGGCAGGAGATGGAACCATCAGCCCAAACAAGGCGCTGGCGAGTAGCACCCTGCTTGAGCTAGCAGCGAGCGAGTAACATATAGTTGCTGTGCCTGCCGACATGCAGCATGACTAAAATCCCCCTGCTAAACAATTATTTA